ATAGGCGATATTGTTTCATCTCTTCTCACACCCACTCCCATGTCCCACTCTCCTACCAGATTATTTTGAAGCAAATCCCAGACATCACATCATTTATCAATAAAGATTTAAGTATGTTGCTTTAAAAGATAAGGACTCTTTTTTAGACTTACCGTGGTATTTATTTTTATATTTAACAAACATTGTCCTAAGTGCTTTACAAATGCCAACTAATTTAATCCTCAAAACAATCCTAGAAGGTGCTTACTATTATTCTTATCATTTCACAGATGAGGAATGAAAGCACAGAAGGTTAAGTCATTTGTCCAAAGTTGCCCAGCTAGTAAGTGGCAAGGCAGGATTTGAACCCAGGTGTTCGGGTTCAGATCAATGCTCTTAATCACGACACTACACTCCACTATACTGCCAATAAATATTTGGATTACTTCTTCAGAGTCCAAAAACAACTTATGCAAGTGTTATTTTTACATTCTGTGTTCCAATTTGTCTTCAAAAAGAGACACTGTTAGTCCTTCAACCAAGAAGGAAAGGTACAATTGCAGACTTAGTCCAATGGAATAACACTGGCTTTTTTAGTAGCTTTAGTGCACACAATTTAGACAAAGCAGTCATGAACTCCAGAAGTCGCTGAGTAAGTGCAAGAATAGCAAGTAATCCAGGCTCACTAATCACACATGTGCATTTGACAAGTAATGAACTATCCAAATATCATATTTTGATGATAAAAGCACAATGTTCTCAAATTATTTTTGAAAATCTAATTTCATCAACTATACCACTGCATACCTTCTCACTGCAACATCTAAAAATAAGAATTATCATAGAAACCACTAAAATATTGAATTATTTTGACTTGCACAAATGTCACAATTAATTTAATTTTAAGGAATCTTTAATTATAAAAACTGCTGGTTTCCCCAATTCTTTCAAGTAATTAAGAGATTAATCAAATTAACCTAATCACTAAAATATGCTTATGTGTGTGTATATACGTACCTATACATGATGTATGCACATTTTAATGGCATCCAATTTTAATATCTGAAAATCTAGATCTCTGAAAAATACATATGTGTTTGCATATATGCATATGGATGTGACATCTAATTTTGAAATACAGAAAAACTACCATCTCCAATTAGGAATTGAAAAAACTGAGTTCATATTATAATAAGTTTTCAAATAAGTTCCAGGAAAAGAACTGTCTACCAGTTACTAAATAATGTGCTTTAACAGACACTTTAGCTGTGGCAAGAGGCCTTCTCACATTCCTTTCCTCTGGTCAAGTGACACTCAGAAGAAAAATAGAAACATTCTTACTTTTGAAAGCACTCACGGTAATAATGTCATATAACGAGAGACTGAACATAAACATGCCTCTGGTTTGGATTAGAGCTAAATCCATCAGGAAGTAAAGGAAATAGCTCCTAAGGAAAGATTTGATAATACCATTAGGAATGCTTATTTTACTGTCATTGAAGGGAAAGATAAAACAACATTATTTTCTAACTTTCTAGAGAAAGGGGGAAAAAAAGAATATAATTTTTCACATGTTTTAAGCCTCATAGTGAAGAACATCAGGTATGTTCACAGCTTCTGGAGCTTAACAGCTGTTCCTTAGAACAAAGGGGCTAAATACTTTAAGCTGTCTGCTTCTCACCCTAAAAGCTACCTGTCCTGTGTTTGAGACCAATTTTGCCCAACTTCAGTAATTTATCCTGCCATTCGATATGCAAGGAGGAGAGACACAATTAATATGGGCATTTCCAAGTCTTTGCTCTTCCCCTCGAACAGTCCAGATGCCCCATGTTCTGCTTTACCTTTGCTTTGGTCCATAACCCTCATCATCCTGTACCCTGCCATATTTCCTTATTTATCATGTTCATTGTTTATCCATCTCCCCAGTTAGAAAGCGAGTTCCTGGAGGACTGGAATCTTTGATTGCTTTATGGGCTTTGTTCTCTAGCTCCTAAAATAGTGCCTGACACATAGTGGGTGTTCAGTAAATACCTGTTGAATTCGAGGTTTTTAATAACCTTTCAAATAACAGTAATACTTTATAGCAAATACTTACGGAGATGGAGCACCATGCTGTGCCCTTCGTATCCATTAAAGAAACTCCCCACAGCCTGCGAAATGCATACCATTTTCCTGATGAGAAATGTGTCACCTACAGAGATTAAGCAACTTCACAGCAAGTGAAGCTCATTCAAGACCTCTTCATCTTAATGTATGATTCAACTTGACTTCTTAAAGGACTGACACCATCATATCTTCAAATATTCAAAACATCCAATAACTACAACCATAAAATGTGAGTTAACAAAGCTGATCAAGTATCTTCATAAATTATGTCCAATACAAGACTCAGACCCTAAGAGTAAATTATGGAACAATTTTGCTCCTCCTTGCTATGATTATACTCCTCCTGTGATCTTAGTAACAAGAAAAGAATAATAATTTCTATAATACTTTATAGTTCATAACATGCTTTTACAAATATTACCAAACATGACCTAAACTATTAAAAAATACATCTATAATCTTGTTCTTCAACTGATTCCAAAGAGAAAAAGAACATCTTGTCCAAATTAGACCTGAATGAGAAACAGATATTCGGAAAGAGACCTCCTGAGTGGCAATTTCTATAACTTCCAGAGTAGACGTTCACCTTCCAAATTTTCTCTTATGGAAAACAAAGGACTGGGAGAAAAGCAACATGCTTCCACAAACTGAGACAGAGCACACTCGGGGCCTGGCCAGCGTGCCAAAACTGGAAAAGGCTGTCCTGTTAGTGTCCCAATTACTAACATCTTCATTTCACTTTTCCAGGAAAGCCTAATAGGAAAATATACAGAAATAATTCCCAACTAAGAATAACTCATCCATTCCTACATCAATTATTTTGACTATATCTAAGGTGCAATATTCACCGAATGGCTACTCTGGCTCAACACTGTGGGAGACCCAGTGAAGTATAGGCATAGTTCCTATCCTCAAAACCTAGTTGGGAAGACCAGATACAAAGATGTAAAGACAAACAACAGAAAAGTTAGCTGCAAAAAGAAAAAAACTAGAAACAGGGGGACAGCAAAGAAGCTTTATTACCTCAAGAAATACTTGGCATTTGGTAATTCATTGCAAAGTCTGTATAAGTAATACAACTTGAAAGGTCATTTAAAATTCAACTTTCTGTTACAAAGTAGTGCACTCTTAAAATCCTATTAAAATTATACTTATTCTTTAAGACCTAACTCAAACGTGACAATCTCTATCATTTTCCCTGACCTTCCGTCAACCCTCTACAAGGCTTTGTCATCTCTCAAAGCCTTTGTCACCTCTTATGATGCACCTGACTTTCCTGGTAGGCTACCAGCCAGCTTCATGAGAGCAGAGGCCACAGCTCGTACCTGCATGCTACCTGACAGTCAGTAGGGGCTTAGCAGTTGTTGGCTACATTGAGTGGAATAAAGAATTTACTACCTCTTAAACCCATGGAAGATATCTTCCTGGAGAAAACACTTCATTAGTACACGACTTCTGACTTATCAGGGCATTACATTTTACATGTCTCTTTGGCAGGTAAAAACAAGCAAAAAAAACAACAAAACATTTAAACATAAAAGTAAATTCGGCTATATAAGTTACTTAGTCACTGATACAGCAATAACACAGTGGTTATCAAAGGAGTGCAATTTGGAAATCTGTGGGGATGTTTCACAGTGATTGTGGGACCAGGAATGTTAAACATCCTGAATTCTTGGGAAAGTCCTATACACTTAAGAACTATCCTACATCCTGCATGATTTTCCAATATTTTGCTATACATTCATGCAGGTGAAATTACCTGAGCTGGAGCCTAATTCTGTTGTATTTATAAGCAAGGATTTAGGCAATGCATCATATTTTCTGGGAATGAAACTACCATGTAAATTGAGAGAAGATTGTACTTTGTCTAGTTTGGAACTTCAGAAGAGTTGTTCAGCATTTTGGAAAATCAGGTCTCCGACAGCAATGTATCCCATCCATTCTTGTGGTTCCGGGCACTGAGCACAGAGTGGTGAGTACTTACATGATTGTGTACTGTGTCACTCCATTTCTCAGCAGTGTTCACTGGTTCGTCCCTGATCTCCCTCCAACCCAAATGGCCCTCTCTGCCTCATCACTTCTGACAATGTCCAGTGCAAACTTTTGACTTTTAGCATTTGAGGTCATTGAGCATCTTGCCTCCTTTAGCACATACTCAACCCTGTGACCAAGCTATTCCCTGTAAACTCCCAATTTTTTCATGTCTTCAAGTGTTTATTCACGCCATTCCTCCTCCAGATACACCTTCCACCTTTCTCTCTGTCTTGCCCCAACATCCTCCAGGGCCCACCTAAGTGATCCTCCTTTCATAAACCTTCCTAGATACTCCCTTTCAAGGTGGTGTATCTCCGCTTGGATTACCCACTACACGACAGGCTGTTTGGGTACCTGAATGCACTCAGTTTAGCATTTTATTTTATAATCTTATGTTGTTTTCTCATTGTTTCATGTCTTATCTTTCCCCCACAGAATATAATTTTGACTGCAGGGATCATTCTATACCTCTTTTTGATACGAAATCTATTTTGCAAAGTGACTGGCATATAGAAAGTGTTCAGTAGAAACCTATTTAACTGAAGATCAACTTCACTTTTTATTTTAAGGAACTGGGGTCAACCTTTTACAGAACAGTGAACAACGCATGAGAGACTTCAAAGGCTTACAAGCCTCAAATGAGTAAAAGAATCCCTGATCACCAGCTAGCTCACAATGAAAATATAAACACATTAATGTTCAGTTGGTTCCATCTAAAATTTATCTTCAATAATGTCTTTTTTTTTTTTTTGAGGAAGATTAGCCCTGAGCTAATATCTGATGCCAATCCTCCTCTTTTTGATGAGGAAGATTGGCCCTGGACTAAGATCTGTGCCCATTTTCCTCTACTTTATATGTGACACCGCCACAACATGGCTTGACAAGCAGTGCGTTGGTCCACGCCCAGGATCCAAACCTGCAAACCTCAGAGCGCGCAAACTTAACCACTACGCCACCAGGCCAGCCCCTTCAGTAATGTCTTCTTAATGAGGATATAGTGAGAGTCCATAAAAATTATATGTTTATAATTTGGTATATAATATACTTGGTATCGGTAAGGAATATAAGGAGCAATTCACATCAAACATATTATTATTTAATATTTTCATAATAATGGAAACATAATAGCCAATGTACTAGTATTTAAACAGGTCCTGAAGCCAGCCATCTGAATCCTGACTGCAAGGCTACTTCTTCAATGGGCAATATGTCTTCCTAGGCACTACATCTGCACTGCCAGTAGCTCCTACCAATGGTTCCTAATTATGGCTTTACCACCCAAAGACTAGTGAAGAAAACTGAATGTCAGATATGAGCTGCTGTAATTAAAATTATAGAAAATGTCAGAACTTCCTATATTTAAAAATTAACTTGAGTCCACATAAAAGTTATCACTCCCCACCTTTAACTAGTTGGAGGTTAAATTAAGCTGAAATTAATTGGTAATAAGTTTCTGTCTTAAGAAATATTTATTACCTATAACAATTAGTTTAATTTTTCAAACAATAAAAATAAGACAGGGCAGTAAAATCTTCTAGCAGTAATAACCTAGCATCATACCTCAGCAAGAACTAATGATTATCAGTCATGACATGAATTGATTTGTAATCAAGTAGATGGAAAGAGAAAAAATGAACAGCCAGAAAATTTCAGGTCAAGAGCTTAGGCTTCTTTTGTGTGTGTGTGTGTGTGTGTGTGTGTGTGTGTGTGTGTGTGTGAGGAAGATCAGCCCCAAGCTAACATCCATGCTAATCTTCCTCTTTTTGTTGAGGAAGACCGGCTCCGAGCTACCATCTATTGCCAATCCTCCTCCTTTTTTTTTTTTTCCCCCAAAGCCCCAGTAGATAGTTGTATGTCATAGTTGCACATCATTCTAGTTGCTGTATGTGGGACGCGGCCTCAGCACGGCCGGAGAAGCGGTGCATTGGTGTGCACCCGGGATCCGAACCCGGGCCGCCAGTAGCAGAGCACACGCACTTAACCGCTAAGCCACGGGGCCGGCCCGAGCTTAGGTTTCTATATGGATATGGGTACAGGAAAAATATGGTTAGAATAAACTACAGAAGAGGAATTCTAGAGTAAACCAGCATAATTCAACAGGTACCTATGAATGTCAGATATAACTATCTGCTTCCCATATGAGGAAATGCTTCTGAAAAGACAAACTTGAGCAAGAGTGAAAATCACACACAAGATCTTGGCAGACTTGAACTCTGCTAAGATCCTATGTGGTCCAGCTGTGAGCAAGCAGACGACAGTTCCTCAGGCAAGTGCAGGGCAGTGCCAGATGGGGAGGGCAGAGGAAACAGCACTTGGGCTGTGTGCCAGCTGTTTTCACATACCTTAATTCAGAGGAGAAAGCAAGAGTTTGTGCCCAAAGCATTCACAAAATGACTTTCTCCAAAAGACCAAACATACGATGTTCAGATACACAGCCTTAAAAAAAGCAGATGCAAGAACAATTAGCCCTACAACTATAGCTTAAGAACTTGTATAAAGGATATCAAGAAGCTTCTTTTGCTCCTTTACACTGCAATTGTTCTATCAATGAAAGAGATAATAAAAAATTAAGTTTTTCAATAGATAGAGACTACTCCTTGCTTAATAAAGCAAGCCAGAGTTGCCAAGAAGCACTGACTTAGAAGACAGCTAATTCTCCTCTCTTTCTGCCTGAAAAATTGTCTAAGTTGTCACATCTCTAACTCAGTTATGCATGTGTGTGAAGACGCCATTAAATAGGTGGATTTGAGCATTTCAAATAGATCTTGCATGAAGCTATTTCTTGCTCAAAAATTTCCACTCATTCACGTAATGCGCAAATTGCAGTGTCAAGGTTGAAAACAGGAAAAATCACTTGGCTTGGCACCAAGTTCTTCAGGGCGTTTCAGTTTCTGCCCCTTGGCCTGAGCAGATCACAGAGAAGACGGATGCCTGGCATGCCATGAGCTGTGCTCAGGTCTCCACTCGACACCCTCACCAGGCAGGGGGCGGGGGTCCCAGGGCATAAACCAAAGAATTCCAAAACTGGTCGGCTCTAAGAGATCCGGTCTGTTAGGAAATAACACTACTCTTGCTCAAGCAAGAAGCACTTGTTTAAGAAATGCTTCACCATCAACACTCAATAGCACAGGGGATGATACTCGGTGGAAAAACATGGATATCAATCACGCGTTGGAGAGTAATTCATGAATTGGACCCAATGTGAAGAAGTGTTGGGAATAATTAACCAATTTATTTCATTTACATCTTACAACTTATGTATGCATAGGAGTGACATATGATAAAAATCTATTTCTGAAGTCTGAGAGCTTTTCCAATAAAGTATAAAACAAAAATTCTAAGTAATAAGAAAGTATTGTGCTTAATTGAAATTGGTTTTCTTTTTCTTTCTTAGCTATATGTATAATAATGGTGCATCTTAAAATTGTGGCATCTTTGATAGATAAAATATAGTAAGTTATGGTAAACACAGATATATAAACACATGTATATGATGTATGACCAAAAGGACCACTGAAGTAAAACCCACAAATGCCAAATATTAGGATGAGAGGGGCCTTTGACACTCAAGCATGTAAATTTGGGGCCTACTCAATAATTTCCAAAGTGGATTATAAATATGAAGTATATATTATTCCAAGAAGAGTTTAGGTTTAAATAAAAGTAGATTCAAAGGAAATGCTGAAAAAATACAATAGCATAAATGTATGAAAAATACTTTAGGGGCATCTAATCTTAGTTTAGGATTAACAAATGAGAGGAGAACCACGTGCCCTGTATCTCCCCATGGCACATTATTTGGGTATCTATTAGCAGAAGAACCAAAAACTGGAGGAACCACAGATGTGACCTATTATAACCTAGTACAGATGTGACTTCTATATTCCAAATATTTGAAGTTCAAAGCATGAACAGCCATATTAAAATACTGGTTTTTTAGTGAAATAAGGTAATCATGGTAGGGGCAGGAAAAGGAGCATTCCTGAATTACTTAACCAGTAACCATTTCCACAACTGACTAGCCAGAGTTATACCAAATTTCAAAAGCCATTACCTCTCATGTGGATGCAAATTTGCTTCAAATCTGTGCCAAGCCTGATCTTCAGCTCACTCATCCTTTGCAGGGGCCTGCCCTGGAGGTCAGACTTCTATCCTTGCCCAAATCTTTTCAGGCTCTTATCCACATGCTGTGTGGAGTTCCTGCCATCTTCAAAGGCTGTGCTCCATGTGCAGTTACACACATAGCCAAAAAGTTTTTAAATGCTTGGCCTTTATGAAAACTTTACACGCATCTAAGCTTTTAAAATAAGACCTAAAAGCAGCTTTTAAAACAAGACCCTAAAAATACAACTGAGTGTGAGTGTTTTGACAGACAATGATATCTACTTCTTAGATCTATGCATCATCTCAGCCAACTGACCACGTATGCAACCCTGCAAACCTACTGAAAACATACGATGTGAAAGTTATATGCCATGCATAGGGACCTAAGGATGCAGGTAATGTGATGCATAGAGCTTATAACATAGTGGTGCCTATAAAATAACAAGTAATATTTAGGATAGCCATCAAGCCTATTTAAACAATACAACTGAGGGCTTTAAAAAGAAAAATATGAAAGAAAATAAAATCAATTTAAGCTAGGAAATTAGAAAACCTTCAGAGAAGAAGCAATATGTAAACTTCAACTCACCAATTCCTCTGAACATATGTGTGAGATTGTTGAGGGAAAGGGTAATCATTCTCATCTTTGAATCCACAATAGCTAGCACGATTCTTTGCATATAGAAAGCACTCAGTAAAATTTTAATGAATTGAATTAAAATGGGAGGAATAGGAAGAGCAAAAGCATTCTAGATGGAGGAAACAGTATGGGTAAGGACACAAGGGAGAGAAAGTACAAAGAATGTTCCAGAGAATGGTACTATTGTGTATGAGTGAGAGGAATGGAAGACTATGCCGGAAAGTAGTTGGTGGCCAGATCATGGACAGCTTTAAATGTCATGATTTTTTTTTTAAATGTGGTGATGTTTTGAGTTGTACTTTAAGAGAACTCTGGCAAGAGTAAGATGATTTAGATGGGAGTTGACATTGGAAGAACCGAGACTATTAAAATAAGCTATGGTAACAGATTGGGCAAGAGGAAAGTAAGTTCTGAGCCAGGACAACAGCAACAGAAACGGAAAAGCACCAACAGAGAGCCAAGTCACCACTGAAGTAGAACCCACAAAATTTAGCAGGTGTAGGGAAAGGAAAGTTGAAGAAAATATGAGGAAATGAGCTATATGAGGAAGATGATGAACCTATTAGTAAAAGTATGAACATTTAAGCTGAAATCTGAGCATGCATCTGAAAGTATGGGAATGGGATCCAGGCTCAAGATTCCAAAGTCTCCTGCCCAGTAAACCCTGATAATGAGTGAGATCACAGAGGAAGGAAGCTACTACTGTTGTTATAAATTATGAGAAATTATTTTTGACTCAGCTCTAAAGGAAACTGTATGAATATGAATGTTTCTTCCTCCTTTCTGATAACAAAACTGTCTACGTGATCATATTTCACTTTTCCCCCTGACTACCAGGGTGCTTATATATAGTCAATTCCACTATTACGATAATCTTTATGTTTGGAAATTTTCGATTCTCCATTTCTTGGTCGTACCTTAGTTACTTCTTTTTCTTGGTCCTGCCTCTTCACTTCTGTTTTACTTTATTGTTTCATTTTATGTGTCCAATACCTCCACAAATATTTGTTGAAAAAAAATGAATGACTAAATGAATGAATATGGTTTGTAGGAAGTCACCTCAAAGCCTTTGTGGAAAAGCTGGATATAAATAAATTTAAATTAAAAATGGTTTTATTTGCGGGGATGATAGCTAACTTCTGATGAATTACAGGAATATTTCTCTCCAATTAAGAAAATTTGCTAGATTTTAATGTCTGTGTTTAAAATTAAGGAATGATTAATTTCATTATAAAACAATTTAGCCTCACAAAAAGATTCTCACTCTAAATTAGAACTCCAATCTACATGATAAGAAAAAATTTTTCAAGTAAGAATTAGAAACTTTTGGCAAGCAAAATTAGAAATTAAAGCATCTCTAATATAATAATGCAAAGCATTAAGAAAACTCTATTTACAAATATTCAATTTATACACCATTCTTTAAAGAGAGAAGCTACTGAATAAAACAAGCCACACAGTGACAATTCAACAATAAATGCTATACCCATCCAAAATAGAGGTGTTTGTTGTATGCATATTACGTACATAAACTATGATCTCTTTGTGCTCTTCTTGGTTCCAGCCTAAGAGGAAAGCCCCTTTCCCAAGCTCAGGGGCCTCCACTTAGCACATTACACTTCCACAAGTCCTGTCTGTTCTACAGACAACTGGGAGTCTGTCCTTCACCCTGGCAAGCTTATCGTAAGCTCTGTTAGTTCCTTTTAACCAGTTACCAGGTCTTGTCCTCCTCACTGGCACAGCTCCTTAATGCTCAGGCAGCTGGAGACCTTAACGGAAAATACTCAGGGTAGATCCGAATATACATATTTTCCATCTACACCAAATGTATTCCTCCATTCACCCACCCACAGGTCCAAACCAGGAAACCTACAAGTCAGTCTGAAGAAATATTAGCTTTTGGAAAAATAGCCTTCAGTTAGGTCTTCATAATTTGTCTTACATGTTATGCCAAGAAAATGCAGCATTTTAAATAGAGCAGGTGTCCTTGCACTCCTTGCAATGGTGACCATCTCTTAGACATACTTTGCTACATGTAAATCTTTGCTTAAGCACTCTTTTTAAAACTATCATTTATTGAGGAGTCTATGTACTAGACATTTAGAAGCCACGTTTCAAACTTTGTAAAAGGATAATGTATATTATCTTCATTCTGCAAATGAAGAGACAAACTCAGAAAGCCACATTAAGTTCAAAAGCCCTTGGCTTTTGGTTTGTGACTACAACACCGCCTCTCTGAATAATTCTTCTGTGTTCAAAGAGCTCATTAGTGCAACAGGGCTCTAGGCATCTCCGGTCTCTCAACATACATTTAATGAATACCTTCTACCTGTGGGCTTAGTGAAGGCTTCTGAGAAGAGATGATAGCTGTGTCTTGAAAGGTAAGTGAGTTAGGCGGGCAAAGGGGAACCCAAAGAGGCTTCCAGGTGGGGAGGAACATGTCTTAAGCCATGGAGACATGGAAAGGCTTGATGCATTCTAGGAACTCGAAGTAGTTCAGCAGGACTAAACACCACAGTGAATGGGAGGAGCAGTGCAAGAGGAGAAGGGATAGAGAGGCAGACGGCTGATCATGAAGGAAACAGTAGATCACGCTAAGAAGCTGGGTAAACGGGGATTTTAGCAGTAGAGTAGCTTAATAAAACTTGCACTTTAGAAAGTCCACTTAACTGTTTTCGACTTGCGAAAAGGGCAACTTCATATACATTTTGAATATATTTCTCTACTGAGCTCACATTCTCATTTGCTCCGATATTTTTTGCATACTTTTTCTTCTTTCTTCTTTCTATTTCTCCCCCTCCTTCCCACTCTACCATCAGCTGATGCTTCACCTCATCAAACTGGAATTTCCCTAAGCTCCACCATCAACTTTCCGCACCTCTCAGAGCTGCACCAACTTCTTCAGTTACAACGGATGAGGCACGCCCCACTCCTCTTGAAAGAGGCCTTCTACCCACAGGGCCTCTGGATCCCATCCCACTGCCCTTTCTCAAGTCTGTCCTGCTTCTCCTCCTGTTTTTCTTCCCTGCATCATCCATATCTTCTCCTGGATCATTCCCACTAGCAAACAAAAATGCTCTAATATCTTCCATCAAAAAAAGGACTTTCCCTTAAGCCCAGACCCTCTTCCAAGTTCCTCTCAGAAGAGTTGTCTACACGCTCTGTCTCCACTCACTCACTTCCCATTTCGTGCTCAACCCACCCCAAGCAGGTTCCATGTTGAGACTCCTACCACTCCCATAAAACTGCTCTTTCTCTCAGTTCTAACTAAACAGCCTCTGGATTTCCCTCCTACTTCTTTGGTCTCTGCTTCCTGGCTCCCTTTCTTCTGCTTCTCTTCTTTTCCCTTCTTTCACATACTCTCTCCTGAAGTGATTTAACCCAGTCCCTAAGGTTTTCTTTTAATTGATATATAATTCACATACCATAAAATTCACCCTTTGAAAGTGTACAATTCAGTGGTTTTTAATATATTCACAATATTGTACAATCACCACCACTATCTAATTCCAGAACATTTTCTTCACCCCAAAAAGAAATCCCATACCCATTAGCAGTCATTCTCCATTCCATCCCCCCAGCCCCCCTTAGCCCCTGGCCACCACTAATCTGCTTTCTGTCTCTATGGATTTGCCTATTCTGGACATTTCATATAAATGGAATCACATGATTTGTGGTCTTTTGTGTCTGGCTTCCTTCACTTAGCATAATGTTTTCAAGGTTCATCCACACTGTAGCATGTATCAGTACTCTATTCCTTTTTATGGCTGAATAAAATCCTATTTATGGATATACCACATTTTGTTTATCCATTCATCAATTGACGGGCATTTGGGTTGTTTCCATCTTTTGGCTATTATAAATAATGCTGCTATAAACATTTGTGTACAAGTTTTTGTGTATACTTATGTTTTCATTCTTGTGGGTATATACATAGGAGTGGAATTGCTGGATATTATGATAACTATGTATAACTTTTTAAGAAACTGCCAAACTGTTTTCCAAAGTAGCTGCACAATTTTACACTCCCATTAGCAATGTATGAGGGTTCCACTTTCTCCACATCCTCACCAAAACTTATTATTGTTCATCTTTTTTTATTATAGCCATCCTAGTACATGTGAAGTAGTATCTCAGTGGTTTTGATTTGCATTTCCTTAATTACTAATGATGATGAACATCTTTTCATGTTTTTATTGGCCATTTGTATATATTCTTTGGAGAAATGCATAATCAAATTCTTGGCCCATTTTTAAATTGGGTTATTTGCCTTTTTATTGTTGAGTTATAAGAGTTCCTATATATTGTGGATACTAGTGCTTTATCAGATACATGCTTTACAAAAAATTCTCCCATTCTCTGGATTATCTTTTCATGTTCTTATACTATCATTTGAAGCACAAAAGTTTTTTTCTTAATTATTTTATCGAGGTCATATTGGCTTATAACACTGTGTAAATTTCAGATGTACATTATTATATATCAGTTTCTGTATAGACTGCATCAGGTTCACCACCAACAGTCTAGTTTTTACCCGTCACCATATATATGTGCCATATATATGCTCTCCTCCCCCCTCTGGTAAACACTAATCTGTTCTCCTTATCCATGTGTTTATCTCCCATGTATGAGTGAAATCACACAGTGTTTGTCTTTCTCTATCTGGCTTATTTCACTTAGCATAATACCCTCAAGGTCCATCCATGTTGTTGCAAATGGCACTATTTTGTCTTTTTTCTTGCTGAGGAAGATTTACCCTGAGATAACAGCTGTTGCCAATCTTCCTCTATTTTGTATGCGAGCTGCCTCCAAAGCATGGCCACTGAGACAAGTGGTATAGGTCCGCGCCCAGGAACCAAACCTGGGCCACTGCAGTGGAGCACACCGAACTTTACCACTGGGCCATGGAGGCTGGCCATATTTTGTCTTTTTTTTATGGCTGAGTAGTATTCCATTGTATATATACACCACATTTTCTTTATCCATTCATCAGTTGATGGGCACTTGGGTTGCTTCCACACCTTGGCTATTGTGAAGAATGCTGCAGTGAACACAGGGGTGCATGTATCCTTATGCATTGGTGTTTTCATGTTCTTTGGATAAATACCCAGTAGTGGGATAGCTGGATCATATGGTATTTCTATTTTTAATTTTTTGATAAATCTCCATACTGTTTTCCATAGTAGCAGCACCAGTTTGCATCCCCACCAGCAGTGTATGAGAGTTCCCTTTTCTCCACATCCTCTCCAACATTTGTTTTTTGTCTTGGTAATTATAGCCATTCTAACAGATGTAAGCTGACATCTCATTGTTATTTTGATTTGCATTTCCCTAATACTTGTTGAACATCTTTTCATTTGCCTATTGGCCATCTGTGTATCTTCTTTGGGAAAATGTCTGTTCATATCCTCTGCCCATTTTTTGATTGGGCTGTTCGTTTTTTGTTGTTGTTGAGTTGTGTGAGTTCTTTATATATTTTGGAAATTAACCTATTGTCAGATATATGATGTGCAAATATCTCCTCCCAGTTGGTTGGTTGCCTTTTCGTTTTGTTTATGGTTTCCTTTGGCTTGCAGAAACTTTTTAGTCTGATGTAGTCCCATTTGGTTTTTTTTTTTTTTTCCTGTTTCCCTTGCCTGAGTAGACATGGTATTTGAAAAGATCCTTCTAAGACTGATGTCAAAGAGTGTACTGCCTATATTTTCTTCTAGGAGTTTTATGGCTTCAGATCCTACATTCAAGTCTTTGATCCATTTTGAGTTAATTTTTGTGTATGGTATAAGATAATGGCTTACTTTCTTTCTTTTGCACTTGGCTGTTCAGTTTTCCCAACACCATTTATTGAAGAGACTTTCCTTTCTCCAGTGTATGTTCTTGGCTCCTTTGTCAAAGATTAGCTGTCCATAGATGTGTGGTTTTATTTCTGGGCTTTCAATTCTGTTCTATTGATCTGTGTGTTTTTGTGCCAGTACCTTGCTGTTTTGATTACTATAGCTTTGTAGTATATTTTGAAGTCAGGAGTTGTGATACCTCCCAGCTTTGTTCTTTTTTCTCAGGATTTCTTTGGCTATTTGGGGTCTTCTGTTGATCCCTATAAATTTTAGGATTCTTTGCTCTATTTCCATGAAGAATGTCATTGGGATTCTGATTGGCATTACATTGAATCTGTGATTGCTTTAGGTAATACAGACATTTTAAAAATGTTTATTCCTCCACTCCTTGAGCATGGAATATCTTTCCATTTCTTTATGTCTTTTTCGATTTCTTTCAATAATGTCTTTTAGTTTTCAGTGTATAGGTCTTTCACCTCCTTAGTTAAATTTATTCCTAGGGATTTTATTCTTTTTGTTGCAATTGTAAATGGGATTGTATTCTTAACTTTTCTTTCTGCTAGTTCGTTATTAGTGTATAGAAATGCAACTGATTTTTGTAAGTTGATTTTGTACCCTGCAATTTTGCTGTAGTTTTTGATTATTTCTAATAGTTTTCTGGCGGATTCTTTAGGTTTTCTATATATAGAATCACGTCATCCACAAATAGCAAGAGCTTTACTTCTTCCTTTCCAATTTGGATACCTTTTATTTCTTTTTCTTCCCTAATTGCTCTGACCAAAGCCTCCAATACTATGTTGAATAGGAGTGGTGAGAGTGGGCACCCTTGTCTTGTTCCTGGTCTCAGAGGGATGGCTTTCAGTTTTTCACCATTAAATATGATGTTGGCTGTGCGTTTGTCATATATGGCCTTTATTATGTTGAGATACTTTCCTTCTACACCCATTTTATTCAGAGTTTTTATCATAAATGGATGTTGGATGTTGTCAAATGTCTCTGAATCTATTGAGATGATCATGTGATTTTTATTGCTCATTTTGTTAATGTGGTGTATCACATAGATTGATTTGTGGATGTTGAACCATCCCTGCATCCCTGGAATAAATCCCACTTGATCATAGTGTATGATTCTTTTAATGTATTGCTGTATTTGATTTGCTAATATTTTGTTGAGGATTTTTGTATCTATGTTCATCAGCAATATTGGCCTATAATGTTCTCTTTTTGTGTTGTCCTTGTCTGGTTTTGGTATCAGGGTAACGATGGCCTCATAGAATGAGTTAGGAAGCATCCCACCTTCTTCAATATTTTGGAATAGTTTGACAAGGACAGATATCAAAACTTCTTTGAATGTTTGGTAGAATTCACCAGAGAAGCCATTTGGTCCTGGACTTTTGTTTTTTGGGAGGTTTTTGATTACTGTTTCAATCTCTTTACTTGTGATTGGTCTATTCAGATTCTCTATTTCTCCTTGATTCAGTTTTAGAGGTTGTATGATTCTAAGAATTTATCCATTTCTTTGAGGTTATCCAACTTGCTGGCATATACCTTTTCATACTATTTTCTTTTGTATTTCTGTGGTATCTACGGCAATTTCTCCTCTTTCATTTCTCATTTTATTTATTTGAGCCTTCTCTATTTTTTTCTTAGTGAGTCTGGCTAAGGGTTTGTCAATTTTGTTTAGCTTCTCAAAGAATCAGCTCTTATTTTCATTGATCTTTTCAATTGTCTTTTAGTCTCTATTTCATTTATTTCTGCTCTGATTTTTATTATTTCCCTCCTTCTACTGACTGTGGGCTTTGTTCTTCTTTTTCTAGATTTTTTAGGTGTAGTTTGAGATTACTTGAGATGTTTCTTGTTTCTTGAGGTAAGCCTGTATTGCTATAAATTTCCCTCATCATACCACTTTTGCTGTATCTGATAAGTTTTGGTATACTGTGTTTTCATTTTCATTTGTCTCCAGGTATTTTTTTATTTCTCCTTTGGTTTCTTCATTGATCCAATGGTTGTTCAGTAGCATGCTGCTTAGTCTCCACATATTTGTGACTTCCCCTGCCTTTTTCTTGTAGTTGATTTCTAGTTTCATAGCATTATGGTCAGAAAAGATGCCTTATATGATTTCAATCTTCTTAAATTTACTGAGGCTTGCTTTGTTTCCCAACATATGGTCTATCTTTGAGAATGTTCCACGTGCACTTGAGAAGAATGTGTATTCTGCTGTTTTGGGATGGAATGTTTATTATACATCTATTAAGTCCATCTGGTCTAGTGTTTCATTTAAGGCCACTGTTTCCTTATTGACATTCTGTCTGGATGATTTATCCATTGACATAAGTGGGATGTTGAGGTCCGCTACTCTTACTGTGTTGCTGTCAATTTCTCCCTCTAGGTCTGTTGATAGTTGCTTTATATACTTTGGTGCTCCTGTTTTAGATGTATGTATATTAATAAGTGTTATGTCTTCTTGGTGGAATGTCCTTTTTATCATTATATAATGCCAATCTTTGTCTCTCATTATCTTTTCTATCTTGAAGTCTACTTTGTCTGATATAAGTATGGCTATACCCACTTTCTTTTCCTTGCCATTTGCTTGGAGTATCATCTTCCTCCCTTCACTCTGAGCCTATGTTGTCTTTAGAGCTTAGATGTGTTTCCTGGAGGCAGCATATTGTTGGGTCTTGTTTTTTAATCCATCCAGCCACTCTGTCTTTTGATTGGTGAATTCAATCCATTTACATTTAGAGTGATTATTGATACATGAGGGCTTAATACTGCCATTTCATCTCCAGTTTTTCTATATTTCCATTGTTTCTTTTCCCTTGTATTTCTGACTGCCATTTCAGTTTGGTGGTTTTCTGTGATGGCTTTCTCAATTTTCTCTTTATTTATGATTTGTGACTCTGCTCTGATTTTTTGTATTATGGTTACCATGAGGTTTGTATAAAAGATCTCATAGATGAGATAGTCCATTTTCTGATAACCTCTTGTTTCCATTAGCCTAAGCAGGTTCCACCCTTTCCTCTTCTCCTTCTATATTTTTGTTGTCACATATTATTCTTTTTTGTGTTTCGAGTTTGTGACTAAATTGAAGTGTTTATAGTTTTTTTCATGCCTTCTTTCCCTTTATCTTGTATGTTATAATTGTTTGCAAACCTACTCTGATAAAGAGGTGCAATTTTCTGATTTTGTCTGTCTATTTATCTCTTTGCTCAAAGCTTTGTAAACCTTTGCCTTTTTGTTTCAGGTAGGAGGGCTCCCTTAAACATTTCTTCTAAGGCAAGTCTAGTGGCAATGAACTCTCTCAGCTTTTGTTTATCTATTTTTATTTCTCTGTCACATCTGAAGGGTAATTTCACTGGATAGAATATTCTTGGCTGATAGTTTTTGTCTTTCAAGTATTTTGAACATATCATTCCATTCTCTCCTAGCCTATAAGGTTTCTGCTGAGAAATCCACTGAATGCCTGGTGGGGTTCCTTTGTGGGTTATTTTCTTCTGTCTTGCTGCCCTTAACATTTTTGTTTGTCATTGACTTTTGACAGTTTTAATATTATATGCCTTGGAGAAGGTCTTTTTGCATTGATGTAATTAGGAGTTCTATTGGCTTCATGTATTATATGTCCAGTTCCCCAGGTTTGGGAAGTTCTCAACTATTATTTCCTTGAACAAGCTCTCTGCTCCTTTCTCCCTCTCTTCTTCCTCTGGGATACCTATAATCCTTATGTTACTTTTCCTAATTGAGTGGGATATTTCTTGAAGACATTCTTCATTTTTTTTGAATCTTAATTCTCTCTCCTCCACCTGAAGCATTTCTACGTTTCTCTCTTCAAGGTCACTAATTCTCTCTTCCGTAAGGTCTATTCTATTATTTATGCTTTCTACATTCTTTTTTATCTCATTAATTGCGTTCTTCATATCCAGAATTTCTAGTTGTTTTTTTTTAAGAGCTTCAATCTCTTTGGTGAAGTATTCCTTCTGTTCATTAATTTTATTCCTGAGCTCATTGAACTGTCTTTCTGAGTCTTCTTGTAACTCACTGAGTTTCTTATGATAGCTATTTTGAATTCTCTGTCAGCTAAATTACAGT